CGAGCGCGTACGCGAGCGAGTCGGGGATTTTGTCCAGCACGTACGGCGAGCATCGCGGGTGGACGACAGGAATGATAGTCGTGAGCCCATTGTTGAACCGCGATGATGCGTCGGTGAGGAGCCGCGACGGCGCCTCGGCGACGGTAAACTCCGAGTAGACAAGGACAAACACTCGCGTGTTATGGAGCGCCGCGGGGGCCGTCGTGACCGAGAACCCGCCCTCGATGAGGACCTCGGCAAGGGCGTTCGCAAACTCGACGTCCTCGCTCGCGGCGCAGACGCCGACCTCAAACTCGCCATCGGCCAGCGGTGTTCCGGCCCAGCCGGGAAGAGCCTCGGGCGTCAGGTCCACCTGGCCGCCGCGCCCGCGCGCCCGTACACCAACGAGAGCAAGCTCTGCCCCTGTTTTTGTTTTGGGGGGAGAAAAAAAACTGCCCGTCATCGTCTCCGCGTCAAACTGAGCCTCCATGAGATCGATCAGGAAACGCGTCCTCCTCTGCCCGCAGCTTTTACATCTTCCGCTCCGCATACCGCTTCCCCGCCGGTGTCCGCGAGTACGCCGACTCTGCCATGCCTTGGATCTTGCGCCCAGCCTTGGTCCCTGCCATCTTGCTCGCGCCATGCTGCCGCCCTCCCCCTCAGCGCGCTGTTAGCCACGCATCCGCCTTCAGCCAACCCCTTCCCCCCCCCCCCCCCCCCAAACAAAAAGACATAATCATTTTCACTTGACATTCGATTCTCTCATCAAAAAAAACATATGGAATGGAAGAAAATGTGACGTGCATGCACATCCTTCCGTCCGCTCCCTCCCCTTCCCCCCCCCCAGAGCCCCATTTGGCGGACTCGCAAAATCGATTATCTCGAGCCGCAGACGGAATGAGGAAAGGGCAACGGCGATATGCGGTCGCTTGAGAAATGCCTATGATTCGGGACGAAGAGTTGCTGCCTCGGCATTCTGGGCGTTGCGGCCGGAATGTGAAGCGCCACCCCGCTGACCCGGGCATATACTCCGACTGGCTCCCTCTTTTGATACGGATCCTGACCCAGCCCAGGACACGAAACGATATCAAGAAC